TGTGAACAATCTCAATCTCTTCACCATCCATCCTGATGCTGCCAATTGGTCCAGTGGTGAGAATCTTTGTCATCTTGACATTGAGCCCCAATCCATATTGAAGGCTGCAGTCCTTAATCTTCAGCAGCAAGTGCTTCAAGTCCTCTTCAGTTTCAGCAAGCAGGGTTGTGTCATCTGCATAACGCAGATTGTTGATAGATCTTCCACCAATCCTGAAGCCGCATTTCTCCTCATAGAGCCCAGCCTCTGGGATGATCTGTTCTGCATACAGGTTGAAAAGGTATGGAGACAAGATTAAAACCAAGAATCTTTGAGTTGGCAGTGCAACTCCTTACCACGAGGCCATCAAAGCTCCCTAACCTGGGCCCTCCAGAAATGATGCTATGATTAAGCTGGTATATGACTCTTAGGGATCTGCGTGGAAGCTATAGAATGATCCCTGTGGTCTGACAAGCCACATAGTTGTAAAAGGATTTCAGGGTAGAATGCAATACTTCCAATCCTCTCAGAGACCAAATCTGGTGTAATGGGATTTTCTCTAGGGTGTGGCCTGCAATCCTTTTTAGCTGGACATTGGAAAAAAAAAACCAAGAGAGGAAACTGAGATAAGGAGGCCTTCAGTCCTACCAAGAATAGAATGTCATTTTCTACCTGGGCCCCTGTGATAGGGAAGGTCAGAACACCGGAGGTCTCTAGGGAACATCAGGCCTATGGATGCTAAAGGAACAAAGTCTTTTCTCCACAACTGAAAGGAAGGGGGCCTCCCCCTAGAGTTGGCACCCTGAACTTAAGACATAATTATCATCCACTATTAAAGCCATCCACTTGTGGCCATCTGTCATAGCAGAATAACCACGACACTGGGCATAAACTTCCCAAACATACATAAAAAAGATCACAGAGCATGTACATATTTAATTCCACAAAGTTTTTCATAAAATAGGGCCCAAATAAGAAATGACTGCATTAATCCACTCTTTCAAGAAATACAAGACAGATCTCTCTTCACAATCTTGCTAGTCTAGAATTTTCAGACTAACTTTTGCCTGTTGTTCTTGTGTACTACTGAGTCAGAAACAACCCACAGCTGAGCATCTGGCGGGTTTCCAGAGAGATCATCCTCTCACAGAGCAGCTCGAACCACATGCCTTCAAGATTGCAGCGTAGCTTCTTACTACTAGGTCTAGCAGGTAAAGTATCTCACTGATTTGATTTTTCTGAGTGGAGGCTCACTTTACACATGCTGGCATTCAGGTTGCTTCTGTTTGCCTAATTACGTATTTTGCCCATTTCCCCCTCTTTTAGTTTACTGTTTTTTTCTTAGTTAAGAGTAGGTTATCTAGGCATTAACAAAATTATTTGAGTTATGCATTTTTTTTATGCGTGTACCGTCAAATTGGATCTGACTGGTACAGGAGGTGACTGTTCCTCCTTCTTCAGCAGAGCATCTGGTGGATTTGAACCGTGCACTTCTGGGATTGCAGTGCAGTTTCCTGCCACTAGGCCACCAGAGCTCGCCGAGTTATGCATTTTAAAAATTTTGGTTAAAACAATATTATGTCAGCGTGTATGGTACTAAAAAATGTTGTTGTTGTTGTTGTTTAATGCCGTTGAGTCGTAGATGACTCATAGCGACCCTATGAACGAACAGCCTGAGCACTGTTCGTACATAGAGTTTCCAGAGGCAAGCCATTTTGGAAGTGGATGACGCTCCTGCTTCCAGGCTTGATTTAGTCGGGAAGCTCCAGCCAACACTGTCCACCATGGGTGCCCATTACCACAATTGGGACATCACTGTCACAGGCTTCAGCATCACAGCAACCACGAGTTACCTCTGTACAGCAACGCACAGACCAGTGCTATACCACCTAGATACTCAACAATTTATTTTTTTTATATCTTTCCCTTACTACCTAGTCATCTTTTCTGTTCATCTCATTTTTTAGGTACTTTATCACTCATTGAATCTCAAAGTAACACTCCTCCTATCAAAATTTTTACCACATGCAAGCAAGATCTTGCTGAAAATTATCCAAAAATGACTAGAACAGCACATCAACAGAGAACTGCCAGATGTGCAGGCTGAGTTTAGAAGAGGCCGTGGTACTAGGGATATTATAGCTAATGTTAGATGGATTTGGGCTGAAAGCAGAAGTACCAGAGGAATGTCTGTGTTTCATTAACCATGCAAAGACATTTGACTGTGTAGATAACAAGCAACTGTAACTAACTTTGAGAAAAATGGTAATCACAGAACACTTAATCATGCTTATGCAAAAACTGTACTTTTACCAGAACGCAGCCATCAGAACAGAGAAAGGAAAACATCGCATGGTTTAAAATTGGGGAGGAGAGAGCCTTGGTGGCCTAGTGGCAAGAAGCTGTGCTACAATCCTGAAGGTGTGTGATTCATATCCACCAGATGCTCCACTGGAGAAAGAAGGGCAATCTCTTCCTGTGCCAGTCAGATCTGATTTGATGATACACAAGAAAAAAAAATTGAGAACAGAGTATGCCAGGATGTGTCCTATCTCCATACCTTTTCAATCTATATGCAGAACAGATTATCCCGGAGGCTGGGCTCTGTGAGGAGAAATGGGACATCAGGAGTGGAGGATGATGACTCATGAGCAACTTGCATTATGCAGATGACATAACCCTGCTTGCTGAAACTGAGGACCTGAAGCGCTTTGCTGCAGAAGGTCAAGGACTGTAGCCTTCAAAATGGACTGAAGCTCAACATCAAGAAAACAAAAGATTCTCACCACTGGGCCAATTGGCAGCATCATGATGAATGGTGAAAAGACTGAAATTGTAACAGCTTCAGCTTGCTTGGCTCCACAATCAACACTCTTGGTATCAGCAGCCAGGCAATTAAAAGACAAATTGTATTGGGAAAGTCTGTCAGAGAGCAACAATGTCAGTCTGGAGACTAAGGTGTGCCTGATCCAGGCCATAGTCTTTGCAATTACTTGCTATGCGTCAGAGAGCTGGACAATGACTAGGGATGACAGAAGGAGAACTGATGCCTTTGAGCTGTGTAGAAGAGTATTGGATATACCATGTACGGCTAGGAGAACAAACAGGTTCGTCCTAGAAAGGGTGAGATCAGGTTGCTCCTTGGAGGCAAGGTTTCTGAAGCTTTGTCTGACACAGTTTGGACATGTTGCAAGGAGGGACCAAGCCCTTGGAGAGGGATGTCATGCCTGGGAGGGTGGAGGGACAGTGCAAGAAAGACCCTTGATGAGATGGACTGACTTAGTGCCTGGGGTAATGGGGGAGGTGTGTCAGAGACAGTAAGATTGGCACAGGATAGAGAAGGGTTTAGGGCTATTGTACATAAGGTTGTTATGAGTCACAGGGGATTCGACAGTACATAACAATTTAAAAAAACATAAATTTTCATCTTGTTGGTGCCCTTGATTTAACCCAGACATAGAGCCTTTCACCATTTTAGGAATTCTCTTAACTCTGAGTTTCTCTGAGGAGTTGTATAACCCCAGAAGTTTCCCAAAAATTAAAATAAAAGATTTAAGATCTTTTACGTCAATGTATGCTCTCACACTTAATGCATACTTCTAATGAGTATGTAATTCTAGACTGGTAATAATTTTCTCTCAGGATTTTGAAAGTATTGTACCCTAGTTCCCATATAAGATGCTTCAATCTAGGTTTTCATCCTAGCACATGATAAATCCTTTCAGGTTAGAAATTACTAGTCTTCATTTCTAGAATGTTTTCGTCAATCAAGAATCTTTGATTTCTAGCATTCTCATTTAATCTTTCTTCTCTATCATTTTTGTCTTTTTAAAAAAAATTCAACTTTTTCTTCTAAATCTTTTATTTTCTGCTCTTTTATCTTTTAAATTTCCTCAAATGTTCTTTCTTAGCTATTCTGTTTGCTCCTGTCTTATAACACCCTGTTCTAGGGGCGGCGGTAGTGAGACCAGAGCTGCGCGCTCCAGCCCTCCTTTTCCCTCCATGGTTTCTCTCCGCTCCCGTGAGTAACTTGGCTCCAGGGGCTCCGCTCGCTCGCGACCGCCCGCCGTCCAGGACCACACCGCCGGCCTCCGCTGCCAGCACCCCGCTTCCAACGGCCTTCGCTGCGCTGGCCCGACGCCTCTCCCCACTCCACGGAAAGTAAAGTTTGAAGAGAGGGGGTAAGAGGGGCACCTTGGAGAGAAGGATCCACTTGAAGCTGAGGAACCAGACCCCAGCAGCTGTCCGAGAACTTGTTCTGGACAACTGCAAGTCAAATGATGGAAAAATTGAGGATTTAATAGCTGAATTTGTGAACTTAGAGTTCCTCAGTTTAATAAATGCAGGCTTGATTTCATTTTCAAATCTTCCCAAATTACCGAAATTGAAAAAGCTTGAGCTCAGTGAAAATAGAATCTTTGGAGGTCTGGACATATTAGCAGAAAAACTTCCAAAACTCACGCACCTAAACTTGAGTGGAAATAAACTGAAGGATATCAGCACCTTGGAACCCTTGAAAAAATTGGAGAATCTGAAAAGCCTGGATCTGTTTAACTGTGAGGTTACCAACTTGAATGATTACCGAGAGAGTGTCTTCAAGCTCCTCCCCCAGCTGACCTATCTGGATGGCTATGACCAAGAGGACCAGGAAGCCCCTGACTCAGACGCTGAGGTGGATGGTGTGGACGATGAAGGGGAGGATGAAGGAGAGGATGAGGAGGATGAAGAGGATGATTTTTATGACAAAGAGGATGAAGAAGAAGATGTAGAAGGTGAAGAAGATGAAGATGAAGTTAGCGGGGAGGAAGAAGAATTTGGACATGATGGAGAAGTTGATGAAGAAGATGAGGATGAAGATGAAGATGAGGAAGAAAGTGGGAAAGGTGAGAAGAGGAAGAGAGAAACAGATGATGAAGGAGAAGATGATTAAGACCCCAGATGACT